TGCACTCCAGTCTGGGTGACAGAGTGAGACTCCAACTCAAAAAAAAAAAAACAAAAAACCCAGAAAAGAAAAGATTCCATCCTCTACTTTGAAATGCATCATGGGTTATGCTTTAAGAATCGTTAGTATCACAGTAAAAAACGTATTCTCTCACCTTCTGTATAGACTTCATCGTGATCCTCTATTTGCTCTGACGTTTCCCAATCTATGATTTGGCCCCAGTGTCTTCTAGGTAGATCTGAATTTCTGGCATAAAATGCATTTGAAACTGCAAATTCTGAGGCTTTCTCCACTCTCTTCAACATAACAGAAAAAAACATCCATTAAGATGACAAAAATTTTGTATAGGGTTAGAGAATTTCTCTCCTATTCAAGAACCTGATTTTCTTCCAACTACTAGGATTCTTCCATTTTTTCCTGCATTTTTGAAGGAACTCTGAGGTTTAAACATCCATTGCAAGTAATTTTTCATTTCAATGATAATAATAAATTAATCACAGTATTTTACCAAGTTCTAACAGGTGTTCACAATGTTTATATTTGAAAAAAAGATAATTTAAGCTTTAGATCTTTTTTGTTTATGGCATTAGTAATGGAATCCTAAGACCTGAATATTTAAGTTAAATATAAAATATAGTATTTTATTAGTTTTCATGCCACTAGGACTTTCATATGATTATGAAGAGGCAGAGTAACTGCAACTTCCTCAAACTACTACTTCTGAAAGGAACCTCCCATCATATATTAGGCAGACTATAGATTCAAAGGGAAAAAGACAGTCATTGAACTGTAGTCATCCAGAATGCTTTAACTTAAGAGTAGGAGTCTAGTGCAAACATGACCAAATTCACGAGATTAAGCAAGGGAATGGTGAAGGTGGGCAAACTGCCTTACCATTTGCCCTTCATTTACCTGCACAGTATATAAAACTTATTTTGCAACTAAATCCTGACTTTCCCCCTCCCACAAACCTGCTTTCCCCCATGCTTGCTGTGTTCTCAGTCTACCAATAAAGTAGTGACAACTCCATACTTTTGGTTCCTCAGGACAAAAACTCTGGAATCCTCCTTAATCTAGTCTCTTTCACCCTGCATACAATGTATCAGGAAATCTATTGATTCTATTTTCAAAATATATCCAGAATCTGACCCCTTCCCATCACCTCCACTGCTACCACGTTGGTCCAAGGCCCAACAACTTCCCGACAGGTTTTCTGGAATAGCCTCTCACACAGCAGTGAGTGGCCCCTTTAAAATGAAAGCCACGTCATGTTAGAACTCCACTCAAAACACTTCAATGGCTCCTCATCTCAATCAGAATAAAAGTCAAAATCATTACAATGTGCTTCCAGGTCCTGCCACCAGACCCTTTGCCAGCCCCTTTGTGAGCTCTCCAATCTCCTCACCTACTCCTTTTTCCTTTGCTCACTCTGCTGCAGCCACACTGACCTTGTTCGCTATTTTTCAAATATGCCAAGTATGTTCCTACCTCAGGGCCTTTGTACCTGCGTCTCCTCTGCCTGCACTACTCTTCCACAGATATCCATATGATTCTTTCCCTTACCTCCGTAGGTCTTTGCTCAAATGTCACCTTTTCAATAAGGCCTTCTCTGACCATCCTGTGGTCACATATACTTTTTTCTCTCACTCATAAAAAAAACTCATGGCTGGGCTCGGTGGCTCAGCCTGTAATCCCAGCACTTTGGGAGGCTGAGGTGAGTGGATTGCCTGAGCCCGTGGGTTCGAGACCCACCTGGGCAACTTGGCGAGACCTCATCAAAAATTAGCCGGGCGTGGTAGTGCGCACCTGTAGTTCCAGCTACTTGGAAGACTGAGGCGGAAGGATTGCCGGAGCTCAGCAGGTCGAGGCTGCAGTGGCCAGGAGTGGCCACTGCACTCCAGTCTGGGTGACAGAGTGAGACTCCAACTCAAAAAAACAAAACAAACAAACAAAAAACTCATATACATATGTGTTTGTAACCACTCTCCTCTAGCTCTCCTTCTCCCCCTTCTCTGCTCTGACTTTCTCTATAACAATTGTCACCTTATAATATATTTTATCATGTATTGTCTCCTCCAAGTAGAACATTAGCTGGGATCATCATCTTCTCAAGGAATCCCTAGAACCTTGAACAGTGCTTGACAGTTAACAGGTACCCAATAAATGTCTATAAAAGGAATGAATAAAAAGTTTATTCAAAAAGGCTGCCCTTTCTCATTTTTATGTTGCCACCTGACCTACTTTGAAACTGACTTTTCCTCTTGCCCTTTGTGGAAAGACTGGTGGTACCTCTGCCAAAAGTTATCATGGGCTTTACTGTCCAAATTCTCATGGGTTTCATATGTTAGGTTTAAGTCACACAGAAGCAGAGGAATAAAGTTGAAAAGTCAAGGGGAATTTGAAAATGATGTAGAAAATAGAGCATACAGGAAAAAATACAAACTGGAAGAAAATACAATCTCATTAAAGTCAAGAAACCATCATTCACTCCTTATGAGGTCACTCTGCAGAGACATATTTTCCTACATTATTTCTCATAGATTCTAATGTATCTAAATTTATGTTAGTAGCAAATGTCATCTGTTGGATTTATATCTGGTACATAGTCTTTCCTTCAGGTTCTTAAATTGTAAAGATGAATTTCACATATACTAATGTGTTTGCATATGCACATGTATGTAAATAATGTTTAACTGCACCAATCAACTTCAGTTTCTTAAACTAATACCCACAAATAAAAATAAACAATAAAACAGATTTGTAGATTTGACTTAGTTTCTCAGGCTATGAGTGAAAGAAATAACTATGTATGATGTGTCATCCTACCTGAGTTGGATTTGTATAGGTTCTTAGCAGAGGAAGGAGACAGCTTGGGAGAAAACAGGAGAAGACTGAAGGATAAAAGCTCCTGCTGACAAATGAGGGAGTCAAGAAATGCATGGCTTTTATAAGGCACAGAGATTTGGGGGAGAAAACCTACTAGATTAGAAATCATCTCTGTATTTCTTTGTCCTAAAATATTACATCCTTACCTTTTTTTTCCAAATAAATATACAAGAGACAGGAGAATGCTCTCCTCCATTTCAGTAAAACATGTGTCAATTTAACAATTTATTCTCTAATCAAGTCCAGATCGAAGCCTAGCTCTGTTCCCAGTACTGTGGGGGCATTAAGGGAAAACAAAAATGTCTGTTCTTTAAAAAGCTCACTTTTTTTTTCTTTTCTTTTCTTTCTTTTTTTTTTTTTTAACTTCCATATGTCATGTGTGCAACAAACAACTCAAGAACAGTTCTAAAGCAAAGCAGGACGGTTTTAAAAGAACCGAAAACCTTCAAAAGTTTATTATTCAGTGTTCACACCTGTAATCCCAGCACTTTGAATGGCCAAGGCAAGAAGATTGCTTGAGCCCAGGAGTTTAAGACCAGCCTAGGCAATACAGTGAGAACTCATCTCTACAAATAAATAAATAAATAAATAAAGGATTTAGCCAGGTGTAGTGGCACACACCTGTAGTTCCAGCTACTCAGGAGGTTGAGGTGGGAAGACTGCTTGAGCCCAGGAGTATAAGGTTGTAGTGAGCTGTGAACGTGCCACTGCAATCCAACCTGGGTGACAGAGTGAAACCCTGATGCAATAAAATAAAGTAAAAAATTAAAAAGAAAGTTTATTATTCAGTAACTATGTTATATAGAACCATGCTCAATATTTGCTTCTCATGTCCCACAGCACACATCAATCCTTTGTAGCCTATCACCATGGATGGCAGAAATAGAAGTCACAGTGTAATCCTTCATTTCTTCAAAATCAGGGGATACAAACATGAGTTTCTTGACAGACCCTCATGTGCATAATGCATGTTAAAATACAATAGTTCTGTGAGTAATATACTTTTGAGAGTGTCCAATTCTTTTTAAATCACTTTGTATAAAATCAAATGTTTGATGCTGTTTTTGTATATACATGCCAAAATAATTCTAAGGGAAAGAGTATTAGAGTATGAGATTAGGTGGTTGAGGTGGAAGAGAGGGATTTGTTCACTGAGAGGAGCATCTCAAGTGGAGCTGTGAGAGAAGGATCCGCTTGGTCTCTCAGAGACGAGGGGTATTCCAGACTGAGGGATCAGCATGAGTCAAAGCAAAGGGAAAACCTATTGATAGAGGGGAAGGAGACTGGCCAGGAAGGTGTAACATAGAGTATCAGTACAGGGGCTGCTACAAGTAAAAAGATATTATAAGTTGATTGACAGAGGGCCTTAAATGCCCACTTGGAATTTGTAGAGTTTAATCTGATGGTGCTAGAATCTACTGAAGGTTCCAGAGCTGAGAACTGACTTGATGAAAATGTTTAGAAAGCTAAATCAAGTTATAGAATGTGCTGGAGTAAGAAGATGAGTCAGTCCATTTCTTCAGAATGAGGATGAATTGTAAATCATAATGGACTGTTGCAATTTGGGTGGGCTGCTGCAAGTCTTACAGTTTTACCCAAGCATCTGCCCAATTCTAAGTGATTTCAACAGCCCTGAGGATGACTCACCAACATCCCAGCCTCACTCAAGGTTGCTTGATTTTCTGTATTCCAATAGCCTTCCCCTCAATTCTACTTCAGCAACCTACTGACATGGTCACCCTGAACCATGTCACAAAGCATGGTTCACTCCATTTCCATTGCTAAAATCAAACTCTGATAACCCTCTCCAACATCAAGCTCCTCCTTTCCTTCCTTCCTTCCTTCCTTCCTTCCTTCCTTCCTTCCTTCCTTCCTTCTTTCCTTCCTTCCTTCCATCTGTTTTATCACCCTCTCCAACATCAAGCTCCTCCTTCCTTCCTTCCTTCTTTCCTTCCTTCCTTCCATCTGTTTTATCACCCTCTCCAACATCAAGCTCCTCCTTCCTTCCTTCCTTCCTTCCTTCCTTCCTTCCTTCCTTCCTTCCTTCCTTCCATCCATCTGTTTTATCACCCAGGCTGGAGTGCAGTGGCATGCATTCTACCTCCTGGGCTCCAGTGATCCTTCCACCACAGCCTTCCAAGTAGCCAGAACTATAGGCACATGCTACCACACCCAGCTAATTTTTGATTTATTGTAGAGATGAGGGCTCACCAAGTTGCCCGGGCTGGTCTCAAACCTGCAGGCTCAGGCAATCCACTCATCTTAGCCTCCCAAAGTGCTGGGATTACACACTGATTTCATTTTCTCTGCTCTTTATTCATGTTGGACCTAACCAAGTCCTCCAGTCACTGTATGCCTCCCTCTTCCAATCCATGAGTCCTTTAAAGGGTCCCCTTCTTTTACTACTCCATGGGGACATTCAGTTACTAACTTACTTCATCCTCATACCCCTTGTTCCATTGCTTTTCCAATGAAAAGCTCCACGTCTGGATCAATCTGATCTACCAGTTTTTGGTACCATGAAAAATTATGGCTACCTGCTTCAGTGAGGTCTCCAGTGCTACTAGGAAGTCTTCTGTTTCTGTTCTGAAGAGAGTCCTTTTTCAACTATCACTATACTCCATACCCTTCCCATATATTTCCCCTTCCTTTCATGTAATGAGGTCTCAGCTGATTTTGAGAGGGTGGTCCACTCAAGTGGGTTTGGCAATCTTAGGTCCAGAGGTTGTAACTGCTTAGGATATACCCAAAATTGAGATATATTAGGGAGCGAAATCAGAAAAGAAGACAGGGAAGTGAATAAAGAGGTGGAAAAGAAGCAGGAGAAAGCAATGTTACAAAAAGATAATGAAAAAGAGAATTTCTAGAATTAAAAAGTAGTAACTATATCAAATGTAACCTGAAAAAGTTTGAGGACTATCAAGAGACTACTGAATGTGGTCAGGAAGTCACTTATGACAGCAGTTTCTGTGGATTGATAAGAAATAAGAACTGCAGGAGAATAACTGTGGACACAAGAGAATAATGAAAACACAAAGGTAAGGAATCCAGACTTTATATCCAAGACATTAGACAAGAAAAAGAAATCATTCAGCAATCAGATAAGGCCTTACTGATTTTTTTTTAAGACGAGATTTGAGGGCATAGTGGAGAAAGAGCCACCACATAAGTTTTAGAGAAATGATAAAAGATACAAACCTAAGTCAAGCAGGCTGAAAACTATATCAAAGAGGAAAATGGCATTGAAAAGTCAGAGCAGAATTTTATATTCCTGTTTTAGTTCAATCTTCTCCTTTGGACGAGATGGTAACAAGCTGTGCGACTAAGCCCTGCAGGGGCTGGCCACTGGAACTCTCAACACTCATGTACAAGCTAGGCTTACTAGATATTGAGTGTTCTTCTCACAGGCTAGCCTCCAGGATGGCAGATCCATTTTAGTTGTCTTCTAAGTCAGACTTCTTTCTGTGTAACCAAAAAGCCTTCCCTGGCTCTAAATTAGAGCCACCCACCACAAGCTTCCATCACATCGTTAATTCTCCCATCAGCTTTAGATAAGTTGTTTATCTTCCAATGGACTATAAGCCCAGGGAGGGCAGGGAATGACCTCTGTGGCCTGTTTCAGCTCCAGTACCTGATATACTGGGCTAGTACTTTGGCATTTAATAAATAAATACTAGCTGAATGAATAAATTAAACATTATCATATCTGGCCTAGGTTCTATCTGGCCTGGTGTTCATGATGTATACCAATTTAGATAAGTAATAACTCTTCACAATACTCTCAGAAGGATATTTTCACAGGAGAATTCTGCATGATCTTGAAATATGTGGTACACAATGAATAGAGTATAGTGTGTTGCCAAATTGACATTTAGAAGCACATAACTGAAATGGTTTAAGACACTTGCAACTTAAATGGTACTTGGACTAAAACATATACATCTCAGGCCTGGTAGAGGTATCAGTGGTTATCTAACCCAGTCCCTTCACTGAATGTTCAAACATAATCTTCATTAGCCTAACATTAAGTGTCCATTTGAGGCCACTTAAATACTTCCAGTGATAGCAAACACATCTTTTTATGAGAATATCCACTCCACTTTTGGATCACTCTAGTCATTAGAAAATTCCTACCAATGATACACACATAGCTTTTGCCCTTGGTCTCTATGTCAATATAACTACAGTACAGTCTTTCCAACATCTGAGGAAGGCCACCACATCCTCTCCTAAGGCTTCTCTCTCCCTGTTCCGTTAGTTCTCTTCATGTGATACTCATGGCATTTGAAACAGCATGTCTACACACATTTCTTGTCATTCACACTTAAACGCTTTCATGAGAAGCGACAGAATAATGAAAAAAAAAACCCTACGAAGTATAAAATTAAGGAAACATGCACAGTCACATGGGAATAAAACTAGCAAGGTATGTGCAAAGTATGTACAATAGTAAAGTAGAGACCTATAAGTATTTGTTTTCCATCTGATTAAACCTCTCAATTCTCTTTCTATCCTAATTCTGAAATATCCTTACCTTAATCCAGTGTCCCACATTGTCAGGGTCAAAAGCAAGCTGTAAGATAATATATACAGAATATTAATACATAGCAATATCTTTATCAACTTTGGCACTTTAATTTATCCTTCTGACTAAAGCATATTGAAAAACGTTCTTTAGCATTTCTCCAAGGTATGTCATTAGAAAGTTCAGCGTTGATTAGCAATAAATGACACAAAATAACAGTATGAAGAAAAAATGTGATACATACTCTAGGACACTGTCTAGTTTTTATTTCTTTTCCCAATTCTGATGCCTGTGCCCTAACTGAGACCAATTAGACCAGTTTTTTTTAAGCTCCCCAGATTAAGAGATAAGATACAGAAATGCTAGATATAATGCTCCTTATAAAAGCCTAAACAAGCAATGATTAACTAGACAGGTTATCCAAGTAATCTTCTGCTTGAAGAAGGGTATGTTCCTCTCCTCATTCTTTTCAGGAGTATCCAGTAGTGAGAGGCTTTCTTATCTTATCTAGATCAGGGATATTGTTTAGTCAAATAAAAACTGCAGAATAGGCTTAACCAATCCGACTTCTGTTTCACAAAGCAGAAAACAAATTTTCACCTAGATCAATGAGATATTAATCTGAAATTAGAAATCAGACCATTAGGATGCTTCCTTTCCTTACTCTCTGTAAGCTTGCTGAATTCCCTCTAATGGTCACTTAACAAATTTTTGCTTTGCTAAAAATTCAAGTAAGGGGACACCTAAACTAGCATACTATCACATGGAGGTAGGAAAACTATAATATCCTTTTTCACTTACCTAACACTTCACCTTCACAGCACCTTACAGATAATTAATGAAGCTGTACTGCTGAATAATTTTGTCACTGCAAAAAAGAAAGAGCTGATCCTACTAAAACACAACTGAACTTCAAGGACCTTGGTGTTTTTACCTTTTTAACCTCCAGGCAGCAACAATGAGCAATAGCAGCAAAAATTTCTTCCTTTTGGAGTCCTAAAAAATTGTCCCCAATTTTTGCCTTTCATCATCAGGTCTACATCCATACCCTATTTGGGATTCAATCCATTATGCAACTGACATATTGCAACTGCTATATTGCAGTAGGAGAAACCTCCGTTTCCAAGTCTCTCTAATGCTCCAGTCTGCATCTTCCAGTATCTGGGGCAAGATATTTACCAAGTGGAATATGTCCGGTGCATTTAGTTGGAAGATTTAGAATAAATCACAAGATCAATTGCCTGGGGCCCTCACAAAGGCCAAACGTCTCCAGAATATTTTTTAGGGAACTGTAATTTAACGGTGAAAACAGCTGGTGAAACTGCTCTCGAGTTGAAAGCTGAGAAGCCTCTCCAATTTAGCACTCTCATTTACATTTAAAACATTTATTTTTATGGCTGTTAAAAAGGTAGTCTTTGGAAAGCACACACCGTGACTGTGACTTCGCACATGTCACCTACATATGTTTCAAGTTTAAATTGGGGTTATCAGTTTTTTTTCTTATCTTCAGGTGTTAATGCATCAAAAGGGATGACAGATATGAAGAGAATCTATTTTTTGAATGTTGGTTGAACTTATAAATTCCCCATGTGAATCAAGTATTGATATATTCAATATCCACTTGCACTTCCACAGGCAGAGTATTTTATAGGAAGAGCTGCCCCCTTCAATAAAGATCGGTTCCCCAAGATTTGCAAAACACTAAAGAAATAAAAATATGTGGGAAGTTTACTAAAATTGGAGATGGGAGGAACTGACTTCGCTAATTCCCTTCACTCTGATGGTCACTAGGCAGACCTCTTATGTTTTAGAAAAGCGTTAGATTAAAATCATACTTCTACGATGCTGCCCAGCAAAGCAGTAAGGTTCCCAGACCCCAAAGCTCCGGTGCACTTCGCTCAGGGCAATACTGGTTCCAGGGCGATCAAGGGGTGTGTCAGGTACGGATGTCCTGGGAAGAGGGAGGAAGCCCAGTAGGGGCCGCGGTTGGTTTCGAGACTGGAGAGGGTCTTGGGTCGGTCCCCGCCCCTCAAAGCTCCCGATTGGGATCACCTTGGGACTTGGCTTCCTTGTAAACCGTTTCCAGCGATTCAGTCCCATCCTCTTCTTCGAGGAGGACTTTTCCTGGGGCGCCAGCAGCATTTTCCAAGTTCAGGCCCGGACTTCAGCCGAAGGGGCAACCACCGCTCTTCTGTTCAGGAGGTTTCCGGGTCTCACTGGGAGTTGTAGTTCCTCCGCTCGCAAAGAAAGCGGTGGTAGGACGTCGTGGAACCACCACTCCCGGGAGGCTTCGCGCAAGCGGATCGCGTTGGCGCAGTTACCATGGCAACGGTAGAGACTCCCTAGAGCTCGGGCTCACCTGGGCTCGCTTTGATGGTGCCTTTGCCTCTTTCTGGCGCCCGGTGATGACGCAGTGCTCCCTGATTGGCTCTGCGTTGGAGGCGGTGGTTTAGGAGGCCAAGAATTCTGCAGGCCGGACACGTGGAAGTGAACTGTGAAGGGTTTGAGGGAGTCTCAAGGCTAAAAGAGTTGGGCGGTTTGTAGGTAAGTGCCCCTTTCCATGCTGGTGTGGGAGCTGCTAGGGATGGATGAGTCGCGTCGCACCCAGACACTTCCTGGTTATGTTGCAGTCCTTGTACTCCCGCCATGTCTCCTCTTTTCTGGGTCTCCTGGTGGATTTTGCCTTTTGTAAGTTTGAATTCTTACAAGTCGTGTGAACGTCCTGTCTCCATGAGAAAAGGACCCCCTTTGGACTGACCTCTGCCAAAGGTTCAAGTTCTCAGCAGGAAGTTTTTTTTCGAACTGTTTATGGGAGAGTAGGACGATCTCCAGTCCCCATGCTAGACGCCTAGGAGCCTGGGACCCTGAAGATGACCCGTGCAGCAAAGATAAATCCAGCCTTATTCGCTGAGCCCTTTCAGGGGGGATATATGGGCTTATAAAGCATAGTAGAGATTTAGAACGAAAGCATTGGACCCAGCTGTTTTTTGACTGTATGACCTCAGGCAGCTTTTGTTTAATAACTCTCGGACCCTCCGTTTTCTCATTGGCAAAGTGGAGACGATAATACTTAAATTATTGGGGGTGTGCAATGAGTAAAAATCAATGTATGTAAAGCATTCTACCAGGAAAGTAAGCTAAAATTAGCTTTAAATTGGTGAAAATGAGATCAGGGATGTCGTGCCCTCAGACCTACGACCAGCTCTGAAACTTGAGTGCCCATCTGAAAAGGGACGGTTGAATGCATTGTGTTCCCATAAGCTCTGCAGTATCACCAGGTAGTTCTTTAAAAAGGATAAGTTAGCTCTTCAAGAAAGATGTCCAATGCGGATTTCTGAGAGAAAAGTAAATTGCAGAAAAGTGCATATTATACGATATGTTTACATTTTTGCAAAAGCAAACTGACCAAAAACACCCTCTTCCCTTCCATATACAAGTATGTTTCAGTGTTTGTATGAGTATAAAGAACGGTTGTAGCGGCTAGAAGGATGGATTAGAGGCAGAGGAGGGAGAAAGGGAAAAGAGCACTGTAGCAAAATGGAAACTATGTTGATAAAATATTAATATTACAGTTAATATGTAAACACATTACATGTGCTTATGAACAAAATGGAACTTCTAATAAGTTACTAGCCTATTAGAGTACAGCCTCTAAAGCCAGATTTCTATAATTTAAGTCCTAGCTCTGCCACTTACCAGCTGATGACTTTATTGTCTTCGGTTTCCTCATCTGTAAAATGCAGATAATAATGGCATCTATATTATGCATTTGCTATGAGGATTAATGGAGTTAATAAGTAAAGAACAATGCTTATTCATAGTAAATACCTAATGTTAGTTGCTATTATTGTATTTTCAGTAGGTGAAATTAATTTAGCTTTTATTGTGATTGCTGACATTTGGACTTCTACCATTTTATTTTGCATATTTAATTTTTGATGTGCTTTTTTTGGTCTCTTGCCTTTTATTGAGTCAATCAATTTTTTCTCCATCTTCCCTCTTCAGTAGATTTGAAAATTACACATTCTGTTGTTAATCTTTTAATGGTTACTTCTGAATTTCTAACACACATATTTAGCAAAGTTTAATGTTATTCAGTATCTCTTTCCCCCTAACAAATGGTGTAAGAATTTCAGAATAACTCCGAAAGTTTTCTTCTGTTACTGTTTTCTACAACTTTAGCATTCATTATTTCTATGTGTCGTTTCTAAGTCAGCTCAGTGCACCATAATGTTTAGGTGTCCTTCAGATTTTTCTATGCATATACAATCATTATAGAGAGTGTGCGTGTATGTTGGGGTAGGGGAAGAGATGTGGATGTGTACTTATAAATATATTTACAGTTTTTCTTTCACAAAAAACGTGATAATCTTTTCCCTTCAGAAATTTTGGACATTTCTTTGACAGTAGGTAGATAAATTGTCTAAGAAACATTTAAAAATCCTTTCTCTCCTGATAAATGAGAGATGGGGGTTGGAAAGGCCCTGGAGGTATTAGGACAGATCCGGTGTTGCCAGAAGTGCAGGGAATCTTTGTTAGTCCTTGTAAAGTTACACATTCACTGACAGCCTATCATTTGTCCTTACACCCTAATGACTTTTTCCTAAGACTTTTCAGGAACGCCATCTGTAGAAGTGAAGTGTGCCAGTCACAGTGGCTCATGCCTGTAATCTGAGCACTTTGGGAGGCGGAGTTGAGGTGAGAGGATTGCCTGAGCCCAGGGGCTCAAGACTAGCCTGGGCAAGTTGGCAAGACCGCATTTCTACAATAAATCAAGAAAAATTAGCCGGGCGTGGTGGCGTGCGCCTGTAGTTCCAGCTATGTGAAAGGCTGAGGCAGAAGGATCGCCTGAGCACAGCAGGTCAAGGCTGCAGTGGCCATGAGCGTTGGCCACTGCACTCCAGCCTGGGTGATAGAGGGAGACTCTGACTAAAAAAAAAAAAAAAAAAAAAGGAAGTGTGAAGTTTTGTGTGTTTAGGAAAAGTCCAACACCAGAAATACTAGAAAAGACCCATAACAAGTGAAAGGGGAAAGGATTATGACAAAGACAAAAACTAGTTGATATTTTGGAGACTAGTGATCTATTTCTTGAGTTTTGCTTGGGTTGGTAGATTATATCACTTTCAAAGCATGTTTGTAAAAAATGTACATGAGCCAGGCACGGTGGCTCACACCTGTAACTCCAGGACTTTGAGAGGTGGAGGTGAGAGGATTGCCTGAGCCCACATGTTTGAGACCAGCCTAGGCAACATAAATCAAGAAATTTTTTTTAAAAGTACAATAAAAAAGTACATGAATAGGTATATTTGTGTATATTATATAATTACTTCGTGGTAAAAACTTATATTGTATTTGAGCCCCTAAAAAAAAAGTTCAATTATAAAAACATTTACCATAATCTGAACAGTGAATGAGGAAAGGAAGGCTTGGTTCTTCTATTTCTGGACAAAATTTTATTTTATTTTTTTAAATGTTGATTTCCAGCTGAAGTACATTTTCTGATGCTTTCCTCAGATTTCTTTTCTTTTTTTTTGAGTCAGAGTCTCACTCTGTCACCCAGACTGGAGTGCAGTGGCATGCTCACGGCCATCGCAACCTCAACCTGCTGGGCTCAGGCAATTCTTCCACTTCAGTCTTCTAAGTAGCTGGAACCACAGGCATGCACCATCATGTCCAGCTAATTTTTCTTCATTTATTGTAGAGATGAGGTGTCACCAAGTTGCCCAGGCTGGTCTTGAACCTGTGTGCTCAGGCAATCCTCTCACCTCAGCCTCTCAAAGTGCTGGGATTATAGGCATAAGCCACCGCGCCTGGCCTCAGATTTCTTAATATTTGCATTCATTCTCACAAACAGAATCACTGCAATAGCAATTAATCTATTATAGTACTTTTTTTCTTAAACCCAGTCATCTCCTTTTTCTTGCTAATTTTTTTCTTCAGTAACATGTTGGATTACTGTGACTAGGGTAGAACTTTTATAAAGCTCCAAACAGCAGAAGTGAGTACATAGCACCAAAGCCTTATACTGTAGAGAAAGCCAAGTGTGTATTTCTCTCCAACTGACCTAGTAAGTTCAGTGTGCTAAGCTAAGGATTTTGAATTTCATCTTTAAAGTCACAAGGATTACATTGGGATAAGCCATTGTATTACAGAAGAGTCCATCTCTGCCTCTAAGAATGTGGTGGCTGGTGTCCTTTAGAGCTACCAAGGACCTATAATGACAGATACTGGGTTAAGAATGAAGAAAACTATTTCTTCAGTTGAGGAAAGAGTGAGAAGAGGAGATGAGAGAAAATACCATCAAGATTCAGTGGATGATTAATCACACTTGAAGCTCTTTTATTAAAAGATGAGGACTCATAGAACATGTTCATTCTTTCCTCACACAAGCATGAAGCTAAGAGGTCCCTGAGAGAAAGGTGAGTCTTGGAAGCCAAGGGTCTGGCTTCCTGGTCTGGCTGTCTCTACAGTCTACACTAGAGTCCCTGTATCCAACCTTGAAGATTCTGAGTGTGGTTATACTTGTAAAGTAGTCCCCTCTATCTGCGGCAAATATATTCCAAGGCCTCTAGTAGATTCCTGAAACTGCAGATAGTACTGAACCTTAGATAGATGGATAGATGATTGATACATAGATAGATAGATAGATAGATAGATAGATAGATAGATAGATAGATAGATAGATAGATAGATAGATACACACACACTGTTTTTTCCTATACATACATACCTATGGTAACATTTAATTTATTAATTAGGCACAGTAAGAAATTAACTCCCTTATTTCAGGAGATCCCATTCTGTAGTCTTCATATAGGCTGAGTGCTTTCTGGGGCAACATGTTGCCACTCATTGGAACATATTTTTTGGTCACATTTTCACCTACAAATGTAATGCCTTTTCCTTCTTAACTAAGTTCTTATCACACACTGTGGCCGTAACTTTTGCATTTTGATGTGCAACAGCAAAACTAGCATGAATTTCTTTCTCCTTCACAATTTCATGAATGGAAAATTTATTCTTATTATGGTAGATCTTGGTCATCTCAGCATACAGTCTTTTGTCTTTCCTTAGTAAGTGGAGAACTTTCCACCTTTTCACTTACAGGAAGCACTTTACCACTTCTCTTTGGCATGTGTGAATTGCCAGCATCTCTACTCATGTGGTTTGAGGTCATTATTATTATTATTATTATTATTATTATTATTTGACCAGGCTGAGTTGCTTTATTAGAGAAAGCCAGGATTACAAAGGACTTAGGAGTTGGCATTGGCACCCTTCTTCTTGCCAAAGGTGGGTACAGTATTGATGAATTGCCAGTTGTACTGCATCCTCCGCTTGGCCCAGCCTATCTTCTTCTCTTGCCTGGCCACCTTAGGAGTCTCAGCTCTCACTTTCCCAGCATGGGCAAGGGAACCATGGACTTTACCTCCAAGCATGTGGCCAGCAACTTCCAGGATGACCAGGGCCTCCACCCCACATTGGCTCAAGGTGGCCTCATCCTCCAGGGGCGTGCCTGCCAAGAGTACAACTTGATGTTTCGGGGCAGTGCCCTCCAGCGTCTCCCAACCGGTCACCTCGAGGGTGTGTCGTTTCTGGGTGAGGACAAAGAGCTGCGTGGTGGTGACTGAACCGCGGCCCCAACTCAGGGCCATTATTAAGTAAAGTAAGGGTTATTGGGCACAAGTTCTGAGAGCCTGCACAGTTGGTCTGATTTCTGATATGGCTCTTAAGTGACTAACAGGTGGGGAGTGTCTACAGCATGGAAACACTGGACAAAGGGATGATCCACATTCAGGAAGGATGGGGTTGAATGGTGAGAGATTTCATTATGCTACTCCAAATGGCATGCAATTTCAAGCTTATTTATTGCTTATTTCTGGAGATTTCCCTTTCATACTTTTGGACCTCAAATGACCGCAGAACTGAAACTACAGAATGCAAAACCATGGGTTGGGGCGGCAGTACTGTATTAAGAGACCCGGTGGGTTTTCTTTTAGTTTCCTTTATATATATAACGTTCCTTACTCCTCCTATTCTGATTCTGTGCTTACATAGCATATTTGGCTTCCTATATGGCATTCTGTAGGACAAGGATGCACTGGCTGATCTACTTTGCTTTTTTTTTTTTTCTCAGAGTAAATAATTGTTGAAGCTGATTTTGTTGTTTAGTCTCAGAGGTTGGTTGGATTGAGCCTGACACTGAGTTACAGATTTGTGCTGGGTATATAGACAAAATTAGATTTGGCTTGCCCGGTAGAAGGCCAGTTCTCGACCAGTGGCAAGCCCACTAACCAGTAAATCCTTAGAGGGAACAGGAAGCAGCCATTCTTTGCGCATGTGTGTCATTCTGCTTGCATAGGTTAGAGAGCTTGAGAGCTACTTTGTTTTTATGACTTTTCACATTGTGTTCTAGGGGAAAAAACAAAAATGTTTTGCAGATTACATACAATTTTGGAAAATCTTCTCTTAATTTGAGTACCCATTGTACACTGTAGGATATTCTTTTAAAAGAAATGTCAGAATGCAACTTGTAGCCTGTTAGATTTACTCTCTCTTAAGAGGCATCATGAAAAGAGCACAGGCCTCCTTACAGGAGGTCTGGGTTCTAGACCAAGCTTATGATTAATCTTGCTGAACCTCAGATTTGTTACTGTAAAATGGCAAAGGGGGTGATAGTGGTGATGAGGAGTTCCTGGGTTGGTATCTCTGATAGTAATGGTGAACTCTGAAAACTTTTCACCATTTCTAAAGTCTAATGGCAATCATACATTACTGGGATATTAAGCACAAGTTTACCAAAGCACTGGGGTTTGTTCCTACCAGGAGTTGAGTTAACTCAGCATGGAAAAGCAGATTATGTTATGCTAATCAGAAGATTTAGTTTTCTGTTGTTTCTGTCATTTATTAATAAATGAGAGAAAAGAGCATGGGTTTGATGAGGAGATAATGAAAGTTAGTAACATCCTACAATCTTAAACTTTATTTTTGAAACATACTAGTTTTACCCAATGAAAGTTCTTCTTACCTTTATATGAATTTAATTTAAATAACATAGCTCACTGTCATTCTCAATGACAGCATGCCAGGAAAAAAAAAAGGAGAAGAAAAATAAAAAAATAACACAACTCATGTATGTACTTTTAAACTCTTTACATACCATATACCGCTCAGACAAGATCGATATTTTTGGAGTAAGACAGAATTTTTGGAGGAGTCAACAAATTCTTGTCTCTAACTCTTTCTGAAATAGCTCCAGACAGTACAGTTTCTTCCATTCTACAATGTGTGTGAGGGTAGGAAGTGCTTAAATTATTGCAGTATTTAATAATCCTGGTCTATTAAATTTTCATTAGTTCTTATGTTTCAAGTCTAGTATTCCATATTGGTCAATTTTAATATTCAGTCAGAACAACAGATGTTGATTCATTCGCTTTAAAGTACATTTTTTTGGTCTCTGTGCTCCCCCTACTTCAATTCTCCAGAGCTAATTAGATTTCAAAACGCTGTCTTAAATTTTGCTTTAGAGGTCTGTTGGCTTAAAATGTAAGCTATGTTTTTATCACTTGAAGTCAGTATCTGATAAATAAGTAAGGAATATTATTATTCTGTTTTCTACAGTACCTTTGTATTATTTTTTGAAAGGGACTTTCCTCTTTTAAGCAGTTTTAATGTGTAACAATAGAGTTTGTACAAAGACCTCTATACTATTCTTTATAGCACAACTTTTTTCCCTTACCAGTCTTCATTTCTGTTATCTTTGTGGTAACTTGAAATGATGATCTTATAGTCATAGAAAATTACCCAGACTTTCTTCAAACACTGAAGCTAGCTTTTATAATGTACAATGAACATAAAGTCTCCTATTGGACCATACTGAGTGTAGTTATTCTTATGTCTAAGATTCTAATGACTGTGATGACTGTTTTCTTTAAACATAATAATTATGTCTTCTGAAAAAGTAATGTTTGCATTCCTGAGTATTTGTAACTCATGACTGATGAGGCTTATTTGTTTGGTAGCATCTTAAGCAATGGTTGGCTACATAGTATGATGTAGCTTAATGCTTTAGAGGATGGGATATAAGGTTGGAGCCTCTCAAATGTCTGTAATAATTTATCAACCAAACAAATTGGCCCTGGCCCAACTGGCAAGAATTCCAGAGAGTATGGTACTTGCTGTTGATATGTAATGAAGTATTTGCAAAATGTTGGTGTGCCTGGTGACATTTAGCAAATAATCTGCTCTGCATGCTTCTCAAGTTCTACAGTACATTTTGAAAGTAGAACCTAGAGCTTTGCTTCACTGAATACTAAATCATTGGACATCCAACAAATAATTGATGTTTTCTGGGTTTTTTTCCCTGTTATATCTAGAAATTAGAAAGCATGTCTTTGTTTTTTTCTTTAAACAGATGTTTGTCTTTTTCAGTTATAAAAATAATGAAAATTGCTTGTGGATCATGTGTGTGCTCCACAGAGTTTCCCGTCTCTGCTTGGATACCATATAAGAGCAAATTGGGAAACAATACCACTTCAGTGATAGTCTTTTGATATATTTGTTCATATATTTAATAAATACCAGTATCCTGTTCTGGAACCTGTTTTCTTCAGGCAAAATTGCTGTATTCTTAGTATTCTCTCAAACTGGAGAAAGAGAAGTAGATCAGATCGGTAATCAGTATGATGTCAGCATTGTGACTGTTCTCTATACACATTTTCAAGGCTGAGAGTGAGCCTTGGCTTCATGGCACGTTCTTTCCATAATAAGTCTTTCCACTTCTGTCTTTTCATTTGTTTGGTTTTCATCAACTCAGACAAAAAAAATTCTCTGATTAAATGTTTAATTAGCTGATAATCATCAAATTATTCTGGGACCTTGGGGAAGTTATTTTATTTTCTCTGTATCTTTTCCAACTCCCCTATTCCTGATGTCTAAGAATAAATGTCGACTAGAAATAGTAATACACATGCTATCATTCATTTTTCTGTAGGTTGCTTTCTTTGCGAAAATGCTTAGCCTTTAGATGTGAAACTCCTTCTAAATTTAATGCTCTTTTCTTGTCAGGACCTAGAGGAATCCCTTAGGATGAAGCTGAGTCTTACCAAGGTGGTTAATGGCTGTCGCCTAGGAAAAATAAAAAACCTGGGCAAGACAGGAGACTGCACCATGGACATTCCAGGCTGCCTTCTGTACACCAAGACTGGCTCTGCCCCACACCTTACTCATCACACACTGCATAATATCCATGGGGTTCCTGCCATGGCTCAACTAACACTGTCATCCCTGTAAGTGTTAGAACCAATGACTCAAGTATGAACTCTGGCTGCAGCCTAGTTAGTTGTAAAAAAGAGAAAGATTTATTTTGCTCTTATGTGTAATTTGTAGACTTTCAGAATGAAATCAGAAGAGAAGTGTCAGATATTATACATCCTCTAGCCCTAATCTGGAAGCCACAGTCTAGACTAATTGTTGGATTTGCTTCACTTTTCCTCCAAACCTGCAGTCCCATACTGCCTTCATTGCCACTGCTCTGAGGGGTAACAGAGCAGAGAATGCTGTATGAAAGCTAAACTTGGAGGTCAGGGGCTATCATCCTGCACCAACCTCAAAGATTTTCTGCCTCTGCCCACGTACTTGTTGGTATGACTTTATGGAAACAGAACTAAGGGAATTAGATCAGTTTTTGTAATATACTTACTGACTTTTTACTTAATTGAAGAACTGGCTATTTGACCGAGTTACGCTGTGGTTCTGTATTAATGACAGTGATTTTTAAGGGGACAAGAGGAGGAAGAAAATCTAAGTATTCTGAAGCAGTTGATCTTTGCCGGTTTCTTCTCTCACAGAACCACTTGAAAATTGGAGACCTTAATTCTGGCTAATGAACCTAGTTAGTTGGGACTCTTGAGTAATGATGTACTTGATGTTCACAACTGTGTTTACTGTCACATAGCTTATTTGGATGAGGAGAAGAGCACTTCTGTTGTTAAATAGAGAACCTGCAGAATGATCTATTATTATATGTACTTTTCTGTTTTAATTACAGGGCAGAACATCATGAAGTTTTGGCAGAATATAAGGAAGGAGTTGGAAAGTTTATAGGTAAAAATTAATTAAGATATTTGTAGGTGCCTTGTGTTAATCTGGAGTTTGGAGGTGCTGTTGATCCTTTGATTTTTGTATTCATATGTTTATTTATTCTTTATTTTAATAAACATTTTTGAACATCTAAGAACCAGGCATTGGGGGTTCAAAATTGAGTGGGAAAATTGAACTGAGACATTTTTGAACATCTAAGAACCAGGCATTGGGGATTCAAAATTGAATAGTTGCTGCTCCCATGGAATTCAGAGTCTAGCTGGGGTTAAAATAAAAAGGTAATTCTAGTAAGAATATAGTGACTGCTTTGCAGGATTAGGGATATGTACGTATATTATGACAGGCCAGAGAGTGGAGCATGTAATCTGCTCTGGGCTATGTGTAAAAGGATTCTTGAGAGAGAAGATGAGGAGCATCTTGGCTGGTTCGAGGAGGAGCAAGCATTAGCCAGGTCAGGATTGGGAGCAGCAGTGCTGGTACACTGGTGCGGGACAGAAGCTCTAGTCACTGAGCAAAGACATAGAGGTGAGAACTTGCAAGGGGGATACATGTGATCTGAAGCGGTCTCATTGTGCTTACACCTCAAACATACAGGGGAGGATGAGGAGTTTATATACAGCTACATTCTGACATGTTAATATTATCTTTTGTTCCAGAAATAGAATTGTTCATGAACATGTATGTTCATTTACTTATAGGAAAAGTTTAGCAGTGACAACTAGAGAATCAGTTCTTCTGTAGGCCACTTTCTCCTGAAGCTTTTTCTGTTATCTGGGACTCACTTAACTGAATGAAAATCCTCTTTCCGTTGGTTATTCAGCCCTCTGCTTCTGAGGGCTACTGCATGATGACTTGTTGGTTGTCATGAGACCCTGCATTTCAGTAGAATTTATGTAATAGTGTCCTAGATCTGAGGCCAATTTCAATAACCAGCTTTAAAGTATACAGGCATATAATTAATTAAAATAACTAATGTAAGCTTTCTAGGGATAATTGCAATAATTGAAATTGTGGAAAATGAAGTGGAAAATCAAAGAGGTTTTTAACTTTATTTATTTATTTTTGTCTTTTTTCAGTGAAATCTTTTTTTTTTTAGTTGGAGTCTCTCTCTGTCATCCAGGAGTGCAGTGGCATGCTCACGGCCACCACAGTCTCAACCTGCTGGGCTCCAGCAAGCCTTCCGCCTCCCAGCCGTCTCAGTAGCTGGAACTACAGGCATGTGCTACCATGCCCAGCTTATTTTTTGATTTATTGTAGAGACAAGGTCTCACCAAGTTGCCCAGGTTGGTCTCGGACCACTGAACTCAGGCAGTCTTCTCACCTCAGCCTCCCAAAGTGCTGGGATTACAGGCTTGAGCCATGCCTGGCCCGAAATCCTATTTTTTAAATAGAAAATGTTGTATAATATATGAAATTTAAGCACATATGGTTTACTAAACTTTTTTTGTTATTTTTATTTTTAATGTTTGCCTTTTTGACTAAAGAACCTAAGAAACTGTCATCTTGAATCAATGAAACTTACAGAGAATGAGAACCATTTGCAGTATCCTATAGCTTCTCTATAATTCTGCTCCTAGGGGCCTATGATATTAGTAATGAGATATGTTATTAATGGGATTACCTTATGACCATGATATTTTATCTTTTCAGTAGCTGATTCCCCTTGAATGGTACCTAAAATGAGCATACTTGATATTAAATTTGATAATCTTACTCAAATCAAGCAGGATTAACATGTCACTTTCATTATATCTTGTACTTTAAGATATACCTTTCCTTTGTAACAACTCACATGTTAGACCTGAACCTTTACATTTATTTTTTTTTAGATGAATAGGTTTCAAAGTAATCTTTTCATTTATGTTGATAGGCTCCTATGATTCCAGGATCAGATGCCAACTGTTTACTATGTTTCGAGTTGCTTTATTCAGCAGTACACATTGAAAACCTGTTCCCTGTAACAACACAATGTGATTGTTGATGTAAGCACTCTCAAGGGTTCTTTTTTTGTGTTTATTCAGGAATGCCAGACTCACTCTTGTACTGCTCCCTGCACGATCCAGTCAGCCCCTGCCCAGCTGGTTATGTAACAAACAAGGTGTGTTTTCAGAAGGGCTTCCAAGGCTTCCAAGGCTGCAGTTTTGTCCCAGGAAGTCAGCCTATTGCATCCCTCAGACACTAGGATCCCACTTTCTGGGATGAACCCCGTTATGCCTTCCTTTTATTTTGGTGATTATAATGGGTGGGATGGTTTATAAGAATTAGAGTTGGGCTGCCTAAGGATAGGGTTAAGGTGAGGAATGTATCCTCAGCGTTTTCATTGTTGCAAAAAAATTTGAAGGTGGAGGAGGATCAAGTACATGCGGAAAAAAGTACATGCTATGATGGGGGAAACAATAGTCTTTTGATGTCATGCTTTATTTGCAGTTTTAACAACTTCAGGAAGAATGGCAAAAGTTGCTGATGTGTGTTATCACATGTATAACTATATATAGTGGAACCTCAATATAGTACTGCTTGCTGGTAGAACAAAATCTGAAAAAGCTAGGTCCACAGCAGAGATTTTTATCTACTGAATAACAGTACCAAAAGGACTTCATTCAAAGTTTTCTCCTGAGAGGTAGCCCCACTGGCACTAGGGACAGCATACTGGCAGGGCTTGGGTGTGTGCTGCTACATTATAAACGCATTCACTTTTCCTGCCTCACCTCACTGATGTCAGCAATATCTATTAATTGTACCTAAGAACACTATTTTCAATTCTTCTGCTGTTGTAGGCTTCTTTTTATTTTATAATTTGAATTCTGAAGAAAATATTTTGACCTCTATTATCTACCCCAATTGTAAGGGAGAGAGAATTCTTGATCATTACACATTCTGTGCATGTAACAAAATACCACATTGACCCTATAAAATGTACAAATATTATGTATCAATAAGGACTTAATAACAAAAGAAGTAGGAGAAGGTCATTTCAGTCAAAAGGAACAATGTGATCAAAGCAGAACAGAATTAAAGTCTGTGGTATATTCAGGAACAGCAAGAGTGGGGTGGGGGTGGAGCATGCAGGATAAAAGAACGGAAGATGGCTAGAAAAGTATAACAAAGAATTCCTGGGGGCTAGCATGAAAGTTGGCTTGTATGGCCATTGAGGGAGTCTCTACGAGCTGTAAGATAGATCCCTAGAGAATTTGGAATATAGTATAACTCTTGTACTCACTATGTCTAGGATATTAACTTGTCACCATCTCTCCAGTTGTAAAGAAGAATGATTTTATTAGTTTTCTTTTATGTGCATTTTACTCTTGGTAATTCTTCATCATCTGGCTCTGTGGCAGTCTGTCTCTGTATGGGGTGTTGGAGGAAGAGTGGAAATGACTGCTTCCAAGTTCATGACAATTCAGCAGGCCCTTCAGCCAGACTGGTTCCAGTGTCTCTCGGATGGAGAGGCATCTTATGAGGAAGCAACATCCTTAAAAAGGGCCAGAAAGTCTGTGGATCGATCACTTTTGTTCCTGGATAACTGTCTGCGGCTTCAAGAAGAGTCAGAGGTAAGGCTGTGCTAACCATTCCTTTCTCTTGAAACTCACCTCCCTGACATTCCATGATACCACCTTTCTGTTTCTCCTCCTCCTTCTCTGCTCCTCACTTCTTGGTCTGTTTTACTTTCTCCTATTTTTTTTTTCATGAACTCTAAGTATTATTGTTCTCTAGGATTCTATCTTAGGCTGTCTTTTCATTCCACTCTGTATATGTTGTCCTTGGGCAACCTTCCCTTAGTTTTAATTGCTGAGTAATTCTAAACTTACATATTTTATCAAGATTATTCTACTTACCTTCAAAATTACATAACTACTGGTCTATAGCTAGGTTGTATCACTAGAATATCCCTCAGACTCAGAAGTAACCAGACCCATTGTCTTATCTCCACAAACCTGTTCTTCCTTTTGCTCTTCCTCAATACTTTTTCTCAGTTTATGGCATCTACCAAGTTTCTCAACCCTAGAAATTTGAGTTTTTCAGTACTTCTGTTTTTCACTCACATATAATATCCAATTATTCACTCCTCCTTGATTCCACCTCCCTTAATATGTCTAGAATCTACTCCTTCCTTATTACCACCTTAAGCCAAAGCCATAACCACATCATTTCTCAGGTTCACAGTTACCTTGGAACTCTTCTCTATGCCTCCATTCTCATTGTGTGTGTGTGTGTGTGTGTGTGTGTGTGTGTGTGTGTCTCACTCTCTCACTCTGTCTTCCAGACTGGAAGACAGTGGCATGATCATAGCTTACCACAGCTTCCACCTTATCCTTTCAAGTAGCTGAGACTACAGACATGTGCCACCACACCTGGTTAATTTTTTGTAGGGACGAGGTCTCTCTATGTTGCCTAGACTGTCTGAAACTCCTAGACTCAAGCAGTCCTCTCACCTCGGCCCCCCAAAATCCATTCTCATGTTCATCCAGCCCATCTTCAGCCCCGTTATCCAGGAGATCTTTGTAAAGCACAAATATGAGCTCCTTGCCCACTCCTCTAAAACTCTTAGATGCCTTGGACACCCCGCTGTGACCTAGCCTCTGCCTGCTCCTCTAATTCACTGTGGGCTACTTTCTCCTGTGGCCTGCACTCTGGCCTTTCTGAGTTGCTTGCAATTCCTAGAGGTGTCAGCCCTTTTCATTCTGGTGCTCTTGTACACAGATTTCCTTCTGGACTGTTTCTTCTTATCTCCAGCCATATTCCATTTCTTGCTTCCACATCGGGCTCATTTCATTTCATTCATTATTCTAAGAAACTGGCCCCTACACTTCTAGGAAATTTTCACTCTTTGCTACCCCTTTCATTTGTATGTAGTTGTATTATATCCCCAGTCATATTGTATTGCAGTGATTTCTTGATGCATTTGTCTTTATTAAACTGGCCTCCTTAAGCTCAGTTTCAGTGTGTCATTTGTGTGTCTTCATCATGTAACAGGATGCCTGACACATAGTAATCCCTCAGTACATGTTTGCTGATGGTGAATGGTTATGTTGCAGTGAGGAAGATGAAGCTGTAGCAGTAAATAAGGGATCTTGATAGCAGAGGTGAAGTTGGAGAAGGATGCATTTACTAGTGGAGAGTGGAGAGGGCAGGTGAACAGAAGATAGGGGTCAGAAGGGAGAATTTCACTGTCTGAGGCCATGTTTGTAGAGTAATCCTGAGGAGTAATGGGGTCCCACTATGGCGAAGCGCATTGAGTGTGAGAAACATTATTATTTTGAATTTAGCAATAAAAACAAAATTTGACTAATAAAATTAATATACACAAAATAATTACAGGAAGCTTATTTGTCACAATGAATAGAACTCACAGTTTCTACAGTAGAAGTTTGGTGTGGGGGCCAGGCATGGTGGCTCACACCTATAATCCCAGCACTTTGGAAGGCTGAAGTGAGAGGACTGCCTGAGCTCACGGGTTCAAGACCAGCCTGGGCAACTTGGCGAGACCTCATCTCTACAGTAAATCAAAATATTAGCTGGGTGCGGTGGCACTGCCTGTAGTTCCAGCTACTTGGAAGGCTGAGGCAGAAGGATCACCTGAGCCCAGCAGGTCAAGGCTGCGGTGGCTGTGAGCATGCCACAGCCCTTCAGTCTAAGCAATAGAGTAAGACTTCAACTCAAAAAAAAAAAAGTTTGTAGGTCTGAGTAGTTGGTGATGATGACATGCTAGCAACTATTTTGAACCAGTAATTATCCATGTAGAATTAGTAATACTTAGGTAAGTAGAAAGCAAAACAGTGAGTGTGGCAAAGATGATTTTTAGAAAGGCCAGGTAAGCCTCAAGTCCCTCATCTATGTTGTTGCAATGAGCCTCATCATTTTGTATTATTTCTGCGTGTTGGTTAAATGTCAGAGTCCCTCTCTGTGTCTCTTAGGCTTAAACTATTGTCTTGGCATGATTATTAATGGTGCTCCCCATTTATTCTTAAGTGTTCCATTTTAGAGAATAAATTATATAATCATACATTTTATGCACACAAAAGGGAGTTTCCCAAATAGGACTGTGCTAGTCATATAGTACATGACTAGTCTAGGCCTGTGTAACTGTCTGCTTTGTATATCTACATACGTCTTTTTCTTTCCCCCATGATTCCTAATCCTTCTTACTCACTAGATCCTTTTAGACTGAATGCCCTTCAATATTGATGCTTCCCAAGATTCTGTTTTTGGCTTTTCTTCTCCATATATTCCCCAGGTCAGGGATGGCAAATGGGTTTCAGCCAAGGTATCATGCCCAATGCAGCAGGAAGAGAGTTTTCTGTTAGCCATGTCTGCCGTGGAAGCAGGAGTGGGGGGTGGTAGCATTGTACCAAGTGTCCACCATTCTAGCCTGGGCAATCTTTTTTTAATCACACATAGCCATAACTTAGGTTCATATATTTAGTGGCTGAATTAAGACTGCCATTTGTACATCCTACTAATACCTCAAACTCAGAATATACACAACAGAATAATCATCTTGCCTTGTCCTCCACTGCTTTTCTAGGAATTTCTGCTCTTTTCACCATCTCCTTGGTCTTCCAAAACAGGAGCCAGGAGTCATTCTAGACTTTGTCTTTATCCTGTACTTGGAAAACTAATCATTCAGGTTGTGTTGATCCTCCCTCCTGATGAGGTTTTCAGTTTTATCTTTCCTCTTCATCCCCACTGCCACTCCTTGGTACAGGTCATCTCATCTTTCACCTGGACTATTGAAGTTTTCTCCTACCCCATTCTTTAGCCATTCCCTCTCTTAAATTACTCTTTACACAGCAGCCAACATGTTCTCTCTAGAGCAATAGTCTGATTGAGTCCCACCTGCTTAAACTAAGTAGCAAAATTTCCTCTTTACAGCTTCCTCACCATCCCTCTCTCTTTTTTCTTTTCTTTTTTTTTTTTTGAGTTGGTCTTACTCCGTCACCCAGGCTGGAGTGCAGTGGCACACTCACAGCCACCCCAACATTACCTGCTGGACTCACGTGATCCTTCCACCTCAGCCTTCCAGGTAGCTGGAACTACAGGCATGCGCTATCACCCCTAGCTAGTTTTTTGATTTATTGCAGAGATGAAGTCTCACCAAGTTGCCCAGGCTATTCTCGAACCTGAGGGCTCAGGCAGTCTCCTCACCTCAGCCTCCCAAAGTGCTGGGATTACAGGCTTGAGCCACCACGCCTGGCCTCTGTCCCTCTCTTTTACTCAAGAGCTACTGCTGATTTGTGTATTTTCTTGCAAGCCTTATTTTTTACAATTACATGCACATAATTAATACACAGATATATATGTCTTTATTACATGAATATAATCATATGTTCAGCAAGTTGCTCTTTTTTCACTCAGCAATATCATGAAGTTTTTTTCCCTGTCTTTGCATTTGTTGCTGTGTTTTCTGCATTCTTTTAAAACAGCTGAATAGAAAGCCACACTGTGAATATATTATAATTTATTTAAGCCTTTACTCTATTGTTGGATGTTTAGGTTGTTTACAGTTTTTCATTATATAAGCACCTTTATAAATATACCTTGGTGCATATGAATGAATATATTTACAGGAGAGATTATTTGAAGTGGAATTTTAGGATCCTAAGATAAAAGTATTGACATTGTGATAAGTGCTGTCTACTTGCCTTCCAAAGAGGCTGAACTAATTTTTACTGTCTCTGGTTATCAGTGCCTTTTTCCTTACTTTCAACTCCACTATGTTGTCTGTGTTTTAACTTTTTTTTTTTACTGTATGGGCAACAATGGCATCTCATTGTTTACAATTTGCATTTCCTAACTGGTGAGGTTTAGTTGGTCTTCATATGTGTTTAGGGCATTCACATTTATTTTTCTGAATTTCATATTCACGTATTCTACCTAGATTTCTGTGGGGTTGTCATTTCCTTAAAGGATTTGTTGGAGCTCTTTTTATGGTGTAGATATTTATCTATTCCTCCAAAGAGTAAGTTCTTCCTTGCCTTTTTTGATAGTATATTTTACCAGAGAAATTTTAATGTTTTTGTACTCAAACATGTCAACCTTTTTCTATAAGCTTTAGCTTGCTTAGGAAGGCCTTTCTTGCCCCAAGATTATAAAAATATTCAATATATTCTTCTAAAACTTGTATAACTATATATTTTTGTTGTTTAGATATGAGGTCCGTTGAATTTCTTTTTGAATATGGTGTGCAGCAGTGGTCTTCATTTTATTGTTTTCCAAATGGATAGTCAATTGTCTTAACTGAACAGCTTCTAAGCTCCTAAAGTTATCTCTAGCTAAGAGACATGTAGGTGATCTAAAGCAGGCCTAGTCACTTAAACAAATTAAAACTCTTTCTTTTGTCCTTTTCCTCTGGTACCTGCTCAGTGTACATTTAATTTAATCTAAACCAGACAAGACTACATATGTTGATTGCCTCCCTGTCTTCAGTCTTTTCTTACCTGTTTGGTAAAGTGTCTTTCAAAGTGTGTTCCTTGGACCCCTAAAGATTCTTAGAGAAGGGAGCATCATTGCCCTTACATGCTTCAGCTTTAGGAATTTTGCTGAGATCTCTTCTGACTGTCATGCTTCCATGTAAGGTTCATGTAAACAGAAGTCTCTGTTGCTGAAAATGGTTAAAAACATTCAATCCTTTATTTTAGGTCCTTCAGAAAAGTAAGATCATTGGAGTAATCGAAGGTGGAGATGTGATGGAGGAGAGGCTGAGGTCAGCACGAGAGACAGCCAAGCGGCCCGTAGGTGGTTTCCTTCTGGATGGCTTTCAAGGAAATCCAGTGACCCTGGAGACTCGACTACACTTGCTGTCATCAGTGACTGCAGTGCTGCCAGAGGACAAACCAAGGCTAGTGTTCAGTTAGGATGCAGGCTGGCCTTGTGGGATACAGGGCAGGAATACTGGCTAATTTAGTACTGTAGAGTCTGTCTTTTCTGGACTGAGTCTGCTAAGGCAGACTATGAAGGGAGATTATCCTACCCTTGATTTCAGAATGTAGAGCAAAGGATAACTGCCATGTGAATTATTTTATTTGAGCCTCATAAGTAAGAACAAGTATACTGTTTCCCCTTATTCTTGTGCCAATCCAAATATTAGTCTTTATTCATTATAACATGGTACCTAGGGATAAGTACAAAGTCATGTGTAACTCTAGTTTTTTTGTTTGGGGTTTTTTAAAATCAGGGTCTCATTTCGTCACGCAGGCTGGAGTGTAGCGGCACGATCACAGCTCACTACAGCCTTGACCTGCTGGGCTCAAGTGAGCCTTCCACCTCAGCCTCTGGAGTAGCTAGGACTACAAGCACATACCACCATGTCAGGCTAAGTTTTATATTTTTTGTAGAGAAAAGGTCTTGCTATGTTGCCTAGGCTGGTCTCGAACTCCTGGGCTTAAGTAGTCTTCCCTCCTTGGCCTCCCAAAGTGCGGGGATTACAGGTATGAGCCACCACTCCCAGCCAAGGAACTCTAGTTTAAATCAAGAAACCTGAGAACAGCTTTGGGATGGCTAGTGAGATGAAGATGGGCTCCACGAATAAGAACCTTAAGAAATTCTTAGATCTGAAACAGGTAGTGAGTATTATTTTTTGAAGCTGAGGGGACTGACAGTTGATGGTTGGTTTATGTTTCTGTAAATCTCAGAATTCACTATGCACTGGTGAGAAAATCCTCTCAAGATTTGAACTGCAAGATTTGAAGCTATAAATTCTGAGTTTCTGAATACAGCTTATATTGTATTAGGCTACCCCAATTTTTTAATATAGTCTTTTATCCCACTTAGTGTGAATATTTATGCTTTTTTCCTGCATATATGTTAAGAGCTTTGATTATGGGGTGCTGCTTTATACTCCTTTAAGGCTGTTGGATAGAATATAATATATGTAATATTGCCACTTTTTAAAAAAATCCAGGTATAAGACTGAGGGTGGTGGTTCATGCCTGTAATCCCAGCACTTTGGGCAGTTGAGGCTGGAGGCTCGCTTGGGCACAGGAGTTTGAAACCAGCCTGGGCAACATAGCAAGACCTCATCTCTACAAAAATAAAAAACTTAGCTGGGCATGGTGATATTTACCTGTAGTTCTAGCTTCTTGGGAGACTGAAGCGGAAAAATCACCTGAACCCAGGAGGTCAGGGCTGCAGTGAGCCATCATTGTACCACTGCACTACAGCCTGGGTAACAGAGTGAGACCCCCAACTCAAAAATTAAAATAAAAAATCTGGGTATAATTTACAGTTAAGTACATGAATCTTGTGTACAGCTCAGTGAATTTTTATGCATATGTACACTGTATAAACACCAACCGGAACAGGTTATTTCCATCACCTCAGCCAGCCTTTGCCCCCAACTTTTAACTTAGTTCTCATGTGTTTGTTGTACCCCCTTCTATACTTGTTTCATTCTGGTGCATACAATAATTCAGCACCAGCATTTCTAGACATTTTCTGGACTTCCTTGCGTTAAATGCTCACAGATGTCTGTTACTGAATTTGAAAGCTGGGATTGTTTTTCTTTCTATAAGTGTGTGGAAATGCCAGCTTCAGTTGGAGAGGAGTTCTAAAACATTACATTACTTGAAGGAAACTGTAGTCAGGAAAACCAGCATATATTTAAGAGTTCTGCTTATTTAATATTACATAAGCCTTTTTTTGTACTTCTTTTAGAAATCAGGAAGTCTGTAAGTTTTTCTCTGCCAATTCATGTAAAGGGGCTATGGGTAGAAAAACAAACAGAAAAAACAACAGCAGCCAGCCCTGAACTAGTGTATCTCCACATCTTGTTTTGGTGGCAAAATCTGGTTGAGTGCCATTAACACTCTCAGAATCCCTTACCTATTAGAGGTTGAGTATCCCTTATCTAGAAACCCCAAATCCGAAATGCTCCAGTGAGCATCGTGTTGGTACTCAAAAAATTTTTGATTTAGGGGCATTTTGGATTTTGAATTTTGGAATTAGGGATGCTCAACGTGTATCTTGGAAAACAGCATCTCATTCCACTGTGCAGATTTTTTATTAATGGAAAAAATATAAAGAAAGCCAACTAGATTCTTAGATCCTGTGGCCAGAATTGAAATTCTTTTTTTAAAATTTCAATAGCTTTAGGGGGTACACATAGTTGTTGGTTATATGATTGCACTATATTATTGTGAAGAAATCTGGGCTTTAAGTATACCCACTACCACCACCTGTGCATGTTGTAACTGATAGGTTATTATTATTATTATTTTTTTTAAAGTAGGGACGAGGTCTTGCTATGTTGCCCAGACTGGTTTCGAATTCCTGACCTCAAGCAATCCTCCTGCCTCTGTCCTTCAAAGTGCTGGGATTACAGGCACTAGCCACTATGCCCAGCCCAGAGTTGAGGTTCTGAGAGCAGGGGTTGCTTTGTAAATGAACCTATAAGGGATATAGTAGTTAAAATGTCTTTAATGCACCAATTATGAAAAATAAGTATAGGCAAAATACAGTTAAAATAAGCAAAATATTTGAGAGGAAAATAAAGCACATGGGTTTGCACTCTTAAAATATCTATGTAGTGTATAGAAAATAGACTATAAAGTTTAATCTGAGACCAAGGAGGTTGTTTAGAAGAGATGAGAGTGGAAGGGAAACTAACCTTTATTGAGCTTCTCTCTGGGGTCAGAAACTATACTATGTGCTTTGTTAAATATCTCATTAATCCTCACAGCAATTCTGTGGGGTTTATATTATTGCTCTTATTTTTAAAATGAGAAAACTAAAACTCACAGAGGCTACAAAATCTTCCCAAAGTGACACAGCGGTTACATAATTGGCAAAGCTGGGATTCAAGCCCAAGTCTCTGTGCCTCCAAAGCCTATGTTCTTTCTACCACACCTTGGTAGACACTGCCTGAGATATTTAACAAAGCACATAGTATATTTTCTGATCCTAGAGAAAAGCTCAATAAAGGTTAGTTTCCCTTCCACTCTTGTCTCTCCTAAACAACCTCCTTGGTCTCAGATTAAACCTTTAGTGTTTTTTGTTATTTTTTTAGTGTCCTATTCATTGCAAAGACTCTGATTTCATTCCTAGCATTGTCCTCATATCACTGTTCTTTTATTTTTACAGACTCATCTCTGGTGTGAGCCGACCAGATGAGGTGCTTGAGTATATTGAAAGAGGAGTGGACTTATTTGAGAGTTTTTTCCCTTATCAAGTGACAGAGCGGGGATGTGCCTTGACTTTCAGCTTTGATTACCAGCCGAATCCTGAAGAGACATGTAGGTCTTTTGAAGTTAATCCCTGTCTTAGTCTTACGTTTCTTCTATTTCCTATTAACTTTTAGCTTGAGTAACAAGACAGAAATATGTACACATAAAGCCAGTCTTTTATAAAACTATCTTTGTTTCTTATCTGTATAGCCTGGCATGTTGGCACACAAATCTAGGTACTTAATATTATACATGTAGATCATCGATATTAGGATGCAATTTTATAGTGAGCAGAACCAAGAAAAACAAAACCTCTTCTGTTCACAAACTGAAAAAAGAACATCCAGAGTGAATTGTGATGAAAATCATAAGAACAGGAAACCTTTGAACTTCTTAGTAAAAGTTAATTTGTTTTTTCACAAAAGAGTTCTTGTCTGCTTTTTGCAAACCCCATGCTATTAAAATACAGGGAGACTCACCATCCTCTGATCCTAGTGTTACTTTTTGCTTTTTTGGTTGTTTTTTTATCACACATTAAGAAGTGAAATCTGTTTTCCTCTGCTAATGTTGCTTTGAAGCACTGCCATTTTCTTTTTTCTTTTAGTTATTTAGAAGACAAGAAAATCAATTTCAGAGTCTAACACTTAAATGGAAGTAGAAAAGGAACTGGGATACAGACTTTGGGATGGGGTACCTGAAGCAGTTTTTCTGGAGAGTGTTGCATGTCCAGTCTTCCCTCTGTCTTCCAGAGATGGGCTTTCATTTCCTTTTTCCTGCTGTCCTTTGAACTCTTACTCAACCATATCAACCTTCAAATTGAATAGGGCCAGAAACTTATTTAAATGTTAATTTTATTCCCACGTGATTAAGATTTTACTCAGATGGTATACTTTTATAAAGCAATTTAACCATTCATCTAAATCAGATTACTTCTAGAAACAAAATAAATCAGGTTGATCAAATTGTTATATATAGGAGGTCAATTTTACTCTCCTTTTAGACACACCAGAACATAATGTATGTGGATAGGTATACCATTACCACTTTATAAATTTTCATGGCTTCATTTACAAACTAAATTATTTCCACAAGGACAGAGGTAACTGTTAGTAATTCTGTATCATGAATATGCAAAGCTCTAAAAAGAACCTGATTCTGAGTTCTCTGTAATGAACAAGTTCCTTTTTGGTCAGAAAAAGCTGTTTCTTCATGATTAGGAAAACTAAAATAGTTTGAACATTTTAACCAAAATATTATTAATCGTGTGTGTGTGTGTGTGTAGTTATTTAAAATCCTTTGTCATCCAGGCGCAGTGGCTCTTACCTGTAATCCCAGCATTTTGGGAGGCAGAGGTGAGAGGATTGCCTGAGCCACGGGATTCAAGACCAGCCTGGGCAATTTGGCGAGACCTTGTCTCTACAATAAATCAAAAAGTTAGCTGGGCATGGTGGTGTGAGCCTGTGGTTTCAGTTACCTGGAAGGCTGAGGCGGAAGGTTCACCTGAGCCTAGCAGGTTGAGGCTGCAGTGGCCATGAGGGTGCCACTGCACTCTAGCCTGGGCAAGAGAGTGAGACCCTGATTCAAAAAAATAAATAAATAAAATCCTTTGCCAATGCCATACTGAAAATTTCAAAGAAAGAAGTTGGCAGCAATTCCTCCAAAATGTTAAGGCTTTATTATGGTTTCTCACATCAGCATGCAAATTCATGGGAATGAAATTATACTCTGTGCCCAGTGCTCAGGTAGCTTTTCTTCTTCATTTGACCTTGACAAAATTACCCTTTTAAACTCATCTGTCCTTCTGGGACCAGCATTGAGATTGTTATCATTTGTTTCCAAACCCCTCTTATCTACTTGCCCCTGTTCAAGGCCACTGGCTTTCTGTAGTGGTTCTGTAGTGGTGGTGTAGCGCTGATGGTTCTTTTGCAGTGACAGAAATAGTCCTTCTGAAAGCAGAGAGTTCAAGGGAGCACTTCAGGTTCCCTTTTGACTCTGGATAGTCTGGGCTCCCTGGAGGGTCAGAGTCTCCATTAAGGAATGTATAAATGAAAACCATGTTCAATTTTTTTTTGTTTGTTTTTTCAGCTGGAGTCTCACTCTGTCACCCAGGCAATCCTACCTTAGCCTGCCAGGCATGTGCCACCACACCCAGCTAATTATTTGATTTTTTTTGGTAGAGACCAGGTCTTCCTGTGTTACCCAGACTGGTCTTGAACTCTTGGGCTGAAGCAGTCCTCCCTCCTCATCCTCCCAAAGTGCTGGGATTATAGGTGTGAACCATCGCCTCTGGCCTAAGTTCTACTTTAATCTATTGGGAATATAGGCAGTTCAAAGCCTGCTTTATTTGCATGACATCCATTTTGATAAGGGATGGAGATAACTTCAACACACACACACACACACACACACACACACACACACACACACACATGCGCGCACGCGCGCGCACACGCGCGCACACACACCCCAACACCAACTGTTTTTTACTCATTCCTTGATGGTAAGATTATGTGTTATATACTTGAAACCATAATTTGCTTAGATATTATATTGTTGAATGTCTGAATTGTTTTGATGTTGTAGGTAAGAGGTTAGTGATCATCTTGAAGCATACTGTAATTTTTCTTTTCTTGTGTGATTTCCTTAGGATACATTCTTAGGAGTAGAATTACAGGGTCAAAGGGCATGAAATAACAATTAAAATGAAATGCTTCCAGTGGCCAGTTCTTAACTTGATCTTCATTCAAGGCTTTTTACTGTTTGTCCTTCAGTATTACATCAAAATGGGACACAAGAAGAAGCAAAATGTATGGATCAAATAAAGACAATTAAAACAACTGATTGCAACGAAGAAATAACATCATTTGAAATTAATCTAAAGGAAAAGAAGTAAGAAATTTCTTGAAGTTTGGACTTTGATTCTGACTTTAAATTAAATTTTAGTCTATTTTATTTTATTTTATTGTAGAGTTGTGAGTTTCATGTAAGGATTTTGCTGCATAGTAAATTGTGTGCTGGTAAGGTTTGGACTTCTAGGAAGCGCTCTCTCCCCCTGGTAGTGGGCATGATACCCAATGGGTGGTTGTGTACCCCTTATCCCCCTTCCCTTCCTCCCTCCTTTAACAGTGCCCAGTATTTGTTCCCACCTTAGTGCTCATATGCCCAACGTTTAGGGCCTACTTATAAATGAGAACTTGTGGTCTTCTGTTTTTGGTTTCTGTGATAGTTCATTTATAATGGTGGTCTCCAGCTGCATCCATGTTGCTGAAAGGACATGATTTTGTCCTTTATGACTGTGTAGTGTTCCATCATGTACATGTGCCACATTTTCTTTATCTAGTCCACTTTCAGTGGGCATCTGGGTTGGTTCCATGTTTTTGCTATTGTGATTAGCGCTGTGGTGATCATACATATGCAGGTGTCTTTTTGGTAGGACAATTTATGTTCCCTGGGTTTACAAGGGGGGACCCGACAAAACCGAATTTATTTATAAAAAATTGTTTTTAAACTTCAGTCACCTTCAAAGTACTCTCCATTTGATGCAATACACTTATCGAGACACTTTTTCCACTGGTCAAAACAGTTTGTGAACTCGTCAATTTTGATACCTTTTTGGTACTTCTGCCATTTTTTGTTTCACCTCGTCCCACATCAGCAAAACATTTACCTTTGAGGACTTCTTTCATCCGGGGGAACAAAAAAAAAAAGTTGCTCAGAGTGAAATTGGGTGAACAGGGAGGGTGGGGCACGGGGTGCTGTTTTTGGCCAAAAATTGCTGAGCACTCAGCACAGTGTGGGCAGGTTGTCATAGTGGAAGAACCAGTCACCTGTTTGCCACAACTCAGGATATTTCTTCTGCAAATCAAAACTTCCAGATAAAAACTTTGGTTGACAGTTTGATCTGGAGGAAAAAATTCCAAGTATTCTACAAGGGGCTTGCTCCCCAAAAGGTAATTCCATATTTTGGAGGTCCCCCTTCATATTCCTGAAAGTAGGATTGCTAGATCATATGGTAGCTCAATTTTTAGCTGTTTAAGAAAATGCCACACTGCTTTCCATAAAGGCTGAACTAGCTCACGTTCTCACCAACCGTGCAGAAGTGATTCATTTTCTTCACAACATTGCCAACATCTGTTTTTTGACTTTTTTAATGATAGCCATTCTGACCAGTGTGAGGTATTATCTCACATAGTTTTGATTTGCATTTCTCTGATGATTAGGTGAAAGATGAGTATTTTTTCATATGTTTGTTGGCTGCTTGGATATCTTCCTCTGAGAAATGTCTGTTCATGTCCTCTGCCCACTTTTTTTTTAACCCAATAAATTTTTTTAATTCTTTTTTTTATTATAAAGGTGTAGGGTACAATTCAGGATTAGGTATACAAATGTTGATTATGCAGGTACCCTTGTTGATGAGGTATGCCCTTCCCTCCCCTAGCAGTTTCCCTCAGCTGCCAGTTCCACCACCCCCCTCCCCTGACAGTTTACCACTACTGCCAATCCCTTTCTATAGTATTATACTAATTGCTCAAGCTCTGCTTATGAGTGAAAACATATGATTCTCTATTTGTTTCTGTGATGTTCACTGAGTATAATCAACTGTAAATCCGTCCAGGTTGCTGCAAAGTCCATACGTTTGTCCTTCTTTATGGCTGCATAATATTCCATTATGTATATGTACCACATTTTTAAAATCCAGTCTAGCTTAAATGCTCTGCCCACTTTTTAATGGAGTTGTTTTTTTCCTGGTATTTGTTTGAGTTCTTATAGATCTTGAATGTTAGGCCTTTGTCAGATTCATAGTTTGCAAATATTTTTCCCCATTCTCTGGGTTGTTTCTTTATTCTCTTGAAGGTTTCTTTTGCTACGCAAAAACGTTTTAGCTTGATAAGGCCTCACCGTTTAATTTTAGTTTTTGCTGCTTTTGCTTTTGAGGACTTGACCATGAAGTCATTGCCTACTCCTGAGTTAATTTTTATATATGATGACAGGTAGGGGTCCAGTTTTATTCTTCTGCGTGTGGCTAACAGTTTTCCCAGCACCATTTGCTAGATATGGTTTCCTTTCCCCAATATTTGTCTTTGTTAGTTTTGTCAAGGATGAGATGGTTGAAGGTTGATGGCTTTATTTCTGGATTCTCTGTCCCTTTATACTGATCTGTTTTTGTGCTGGTACCATGCTGTCTTAGTTACTGTAGCATTGTAGTAAAGTTTGAAGTCTGGAAGTGTGATGCCTCCAGCTTTGTTCTTTTTACTGAAGATTGTTTTAGCTATTTGGGCTCTTTTTTACTTCCATATGAATTTCTGTATTGTCTTTTTTAGGTCTGTGAAAAAATGATGCTGGTAGTTGGATAGGGATTGTGCTGAATCTATACATTGCCATGAGTAGAATGGACATCTTGACAACACTGATTCTTCCAATAAGTGAGCATGGGAAGTTCTTCCATCTGTTTGTGTTGTCCTTGATTTCTTTGAGCAGTGTTTTGTAGTTCTTATTGTAAAGGATTTGACATCTTTGGCTTGATGGATGCTGAGGTATTTTCTTCCTTGTGGCTATTGTGAATGGGATTGGGTTTTTTTTTATTTGGTTATCAGTCTGCTTGTTGTTGGTGTATAGAAATGCCACCTTTTTTGTACATTGATTTTATATCTCAAGACCCAGCGTTTTTGATTAACTATCTAGGGTTTTCTAGGTATAGAGTTATATCATCTGTAAAGATGGATAATTTAACTTCCTCTTTTCCTATTTGGATACCCCTAATTTCCTTCTCTTGCCCAATTACTCTGACTAGGACTTCCAGTACTACATTAAATAGAAGGAGTTAGAGTGGGAATACTTGTCTTATTCCAGTTCTTAGGAAGAATGTTTTCAGCTTCTGCCCATTAAGTATGATGCTGACTTCATTTGTCATAGATGGCTCTTACTATTCTGAAGAATGTTCCTTTGATGCCTGGATGGTTGGGGGTTTTTATCAAGAAATGATGTTGGATTTTATCAAATGCTTTTAAGGCATCTAATGAGATAATCATGTGGTTTTTGGTTACACATCTGTTTATGTGATGGATTACAATTATTGATTTGCATATATTGAACCAACCCACCTGGTCATGATGGATGATCTTTGAAATGTGCTGCTGGATACGATTTGCTAGGATCTTGTTGAGAAAGTTTGCATCTATGTTCATCACAGAAACTGGTCTGCAGTTTTCTTTTCTTGTTGGGTATTTGCCATTTTGGAGTATCAGAATGATATTGGCATCATAGAATGAGCTAGGGAGAATTCCTTCCTTCTCAATTGCTTGAAATACTTTCAGTAGGATTGGTATGTCTTGTAGAATTCAGCTGAGAAACCATCTGGCCCTGGACTTTTTTGGGGAAGTTTGGGAAATTTCCCATTACTGAGTAGATTTCTTGGATTTTTATTTATTTATTAGTCTGTTTAGAGTTTCGGTTTTTTCCTGTTTTAATCTTGGGAGGTTATGCCAGGAATTTTCCTCCATTTCCTCTTGAATTTCTAGTTCATTCACATACAGGTGTTCATAGCAGTCTCTGATAATCTTTTGTATTTCTTCAGGATCAGTTGTAAATCACCTTTTTTGTTTCTAATTGTGTTTATTCAATTTCTCTCCCTCCCCCCCTTTTGTTGATCTTTCCAGAGGTCTGTCAATCTCAGTTATTCTTTCAAAGAATCATCTTTTTGTCTTGATCCTTGTATGATTTTTTTTGGTCTCTGTTTCATCTAACTGTGACTTTATTTTAACAATTTCCATTTTTCTACTAATTCTGGGATTGGATTTCTCTTGTCTTTCCAGCTCCCTTATGTGCAATGAGAGACCGTTTACTTGAGATCCCTCTATTTCCTTTTTTGTTGTTGTTTTGTTTTTTGTTTTTTTGAGTTGGAGTCTCACTAGGTCGCCCAGACTGGAGTGCAGTGGCCGCTCCCGGCCACCGCAGCCTCGACCTGCTGGGCTCCGGCAATCCTTCCACCTCAGCCTTCCGAGTAGCCGGAATTATAGGTGC